ACATAATACACCAAAACATCTACCATGAATATTATAAACAATGGCACCTAAGGTATACATTATGGAACAATAAAACTCATAGTAAGAGCATAAAGAACATATTAATAATTCAATCATTAATCAGAATAATCATATACTAAAATTGCACAATTCATAATTTCACATTCATCTGTTTTATTTTCCAGCATTTTGAAAGGTACACACTCTATTGGACACCAATACAAAACTTTAATAATAATAATAGTAAAGTTGGAAGGGACCTTGAAGGTCATCTAGTCCAACCCCCTGCTCAGGCAGGAAACCCTATACCATTTCGGACAAATGGCTGTCCAGTCTCTTCTTAAAAACTTCCAGTGTTGGAGCATTCACCACTTCTGGAGGCAGGTTGTTCCACTGGTTAATTGTTCTCACTGTCAGGAAGTTTCTCCTTAGTTCTAGATTGCTTCTCTCCTTGATTAGTTGCCACCGGTTGCTTCTTGTCCTGCCTCCAGGTGTTTTGGAAAATAGCTTGACTCCCTCTTCTTTATGGCAGCCCCTGAGATATTGGAAGGCTGCTATCCTGTCCCCCCTCGTCCTTCTCTTCATTAAACTAGACATACCCAATTCCAGCAGCCGTTCCTCATATGCTCTAGCCTCCAGTCCCCTAATCATCTTTGTTGCTGCCAGCAAGCAGAATCCAAATACCATTTCTACCTTCTGAAATCTTCAAAAACAACCCCATGCAAAGTACATTGCAGATGTCCATTTGCCCACCTAGTAGTTGCCATATACCAGGAGGCTTCCCAGTATACAGGCTTACTTCTTGAGAGATACCATCTCTCACCTGAGACACAACACTGGAAACAATCAGAAACCTGACCAAATCAACAATATCTTGCCTGGCTTTTTCATCGGTCCATTTTGTCTCATTCAGATCCTAATAGCCTTTAGGCAGCAGGACAAGACTTCCATATTATGGCCCGGGGTAGCCCAGGGTAGCAATGGAAAAGTCATCAGCATGTTGAGGACATATATCCTGAACTGACTGATCACTTGTCTCAATGGCTGCATTCAACAAACAGAAAGGTAATGAAGTCCTGTAGCACCCCATCACCCCATCAGTTCACTGGGCTGATCTCACCTCCCCTATAACTACTAACTGAAACCACCTGCTAAAAAGAACTATTACTATAGAACAGCGGTTCTCAACCTATGGGTCGCGACCCCATTTGGGGTCGATCGACCATTTCACGGGGGTCGCCAAGCAAGGCTGTCCGCCATTTTTTCCCCCTTTTCTGGCGGGTGCCTTACCTCCCTTGGGCTGGGCCAGCTGGTGGTCGGCCTGCTCCGTCTCTGCCGCTTGCCAGCTACGCCTCGGCCGGCGCAGGGGGCGAAACCACGCATGCGTGGCGCTCCCGGGCAGGGAAAGTCCTTGACTTACGACCGGTTGGGTAGTCCTCGACTTACGACCGGTTTAGTCCTCGACTTACGACCGGTTTAGTCCTCGACTTACGACCGGTTGGGGGTCGCGGCATTAAAAAGGTTGAGAACCACTGCTATAGAACAATGACTCCAATCATTACCCAAATGAAACAGGCAATATCATCAGTGCTAGTCCACTGATGGTGTTACCTAGTTTGGGTAATGAAACATCTGCATGAAAACAAGCAAGCTCAGAGAGCACCAAGGACCCCTCATGTCAACCCTAAGTTACAAATATTCTCCTTTATTAATGACTGAATTCAGCATCCAAATAATCCACCTTTTCTAAGGTATTTTCTAATGCCTCTCTGCTACTCTCAAGTAAACAACCTCCCCATCCCCATCTCCCAAGCAAGTTTATAATCCTGGGATTGCTTGGTAATATTCTGTCTAAGTATTAACACAATTTCAAATATTTTTTCTAATGTAAATCTCTTTTAGGTCACATATTGTAATTTTAAAAATCCTCATACCAGCAATCTGTTTCCGGATGCAATTATTAGTTGTGTTCCATCAGGCTTAAAGGCAAGATCATAGATACTGTGAAAACAAAGAATGTTGTTAAAAGGCAAATTCTCTTATCTACTTATTTGTTATTTTCATGAGATAGGTCATCAATCTACAAAACAGTTGTATAAAGTATCAATGTGGCATGGTTGGTTTTAGTTTAGGATACTGTGTGGACCCAATAAGTGCCATGGCCCAATTATTATACATACTTTCTGTATATGTATGTATATACGTACAACTAAATTATCCTTTATTCATTCTGTTTAAGAAAAACGTGGATTAGTATACTTTTTCATTTATCTAGGTATTTATTCCATTTTTACCCCCTAAAAGTCTTGCGATTGATTGCCAGCAATTATGTAGCATCTTTGAGATCGCATAACAGAAGCCCGGGAGAGGCATATGTTATTATTTAAGTTATAAACAGAGAGCAAACCCCCCACATTCATACACACTGATAAAGTTATCTAATTGGGTCATGAAATATCTGCAAGCAAAACAACTAAGCTCAGAGAGGACCATATACTCCACAGTTCAACCCCGAGTTATATATATTCTCTTGTTTCATTAACTTCTATGTCATGTAATTTTTTTTTTATTATTAAAAGTTTTATGACATTTACAAAATAACCCCCCACCACTTCCCAGAGCTGTTCACAGGGTTACAAATATATTAATCATAATCTAAATAACATTATCCAACTAATTATGTAACCAAATCTATAACACACTTTAACTCCCTTTTAAAATAAATTTAGATAATTTAAAATTAAACACAATAATAAACAAATAATCAACTTGATTATTAAACAAAATTACTACTCAAAATAATAATAATATGAATATAATAAAATATAATAAAAACTATAGAAAATATAATAAAATATTCACAATAACAATACTGTAAAATTTACTCAAACACCAAATGGAACTTTTCAGTCCCATATTTATTCTGAATATAATCTATCCATCTTCTCCAAACCGAAATATATCTTTCCTGTGTTTGATCCTTTAAATAAGCAGAAATCTTAGCCATTTCTGCTAAATTTGACACTTTAAGAGACCATTCTTCTACAGTAGGCAAACGATCCGTCTTGTAAATTTAATAAATACATTTTATTGGAATTATTTAACATAAGCCCTGACGGAATAGAAAGTTTGGAAAAGGCACACGCGCGAGATGAAAGAGCACAGGGTAGTAGCGGTCCCTCTCAAGAGTCCTCCTGCTCAATGCAACTCTCTTCTTCCCCGTTATCCTCCCCAGCCCGGTTCCCGAGAGAGGATCGCCTCTTACCACTGCTCGACCTTATCCCTCCAAGTCAACGCAGCTCGCATGTCGTCCCCTTTATGTGCATCGCCCTCGCCGGCACCCAAATCTCACTCCTTTTTTTTTTGTTTGTATTTATTGACGCAGGACGCCAGCCGGCCTCCCAAGGCAACACGCATGCGCACTCCTCTTTAAACGCCCGCGAAGGTTCAAGGAATGCTCCGTGCGCACGCGCGATCAGCCCTCCCCCCCCCCGCAGCGTAGTCCGCGCATGTCTTGAGTTCTTCGCCGAGCCTTTCAGCTGCTGCTTCCAATATCCCGCGGAAGAGAGGAAAGGTAGTGCCGCGAAAAGAAGGCGGAGACGATAGCAAAAGTGCGCTTGCGTCATCGGGGGGGGCGTGGTCAAGCGAAGCTACGGGTTTTTGTTTTTCCCTATCCCCTTCTTATGAAAAAGATCATTAGACTGCTATTTTCCGGGACGAGGTTGTAAGAGTTTAAAGTGCGCATGCGTTCAATGAAGACGTATATGGTAAGAATTGGCGCCTTCTGCGGGATGTCGGTCATGATGTTAGAGCAGGAAGGAAAGGAGCTCTTTGGGATCAGGTAAGGATTTTTCACTGGAGGAAACCGAGGAGAGATGGAATTTATTATGATAGTCATTAGATTGTGCCAGGCTTGGCCTCAGTGATGTCATAAGGTAAGTGTTCTGTCGATTGAGTTTGACAATGATGCGTGTTACATTATAGCGTACCATGTTATAATGGTGATGGTGGTCTCCGTTTTCTCGGGTCGTTCTCAGGTCTTATTTAATAGATTACTTGTTGCTCTGCGGTGCTCAGTTTGTATTGATAACAGGCAGCACCTAGAAAAGATTGCCTGTTTGTTCTGCAAAGTATCTCTCGATTTCCCGAAGAGTAAGAAGAAAACCGAAGCTGCAGCATGGGAAAAGTGCTCTCTCTGTACGGCAGCAAGGGAAAATTAGCAATTGTTTTTGTACGAGACCCATTCAGCAAAATATTTTTTCTGCCAGCAGGCATACAAAGAATTCAACTGCATTGTCTATATATTTGAAGATGCAATTTGCTAGAAGATAGAAGCAAAGCTGCTTGCCTTATGAAAGTAGAAATTGCATTACTGTATTAGATAGATCTGACCAAAATTCATAATGCCTAGGAATCAGTCTGCGCCTGGTAGAAAGTCACTAAGGTAGTTAGTTAAAATGTTGTACAGGAGTAGAGAACACAAATTCAAGTGTCTGCTTGGCCAGGAAGCTCATGGTGCAACTTTAAGCTAGTAATTTGCTTTCAGTTCAACCTTACCAGGATTGTTAAAATGATAGGAGAAACCTTATAATTACCTTGAATTTCTTAGAACAATGTTTCTTCACCCCCCCGGGCAACTTCCATATCTGAATTTCAACTCCTAGAATTTTCTACAATGGCCACATTGGCAGAGGAATTTTGGGAGCTGAAGTCCACCCATCCTGGAGACATCCAGGATGGGAAACACTGTCACAGAGTGAGATAATAAAACTAGATCAGAATCTCTTACTAGAACTCTTATTAATTTTCTATGACTCCCATTCCAAAACCAAAACACTGACAAATGTTTGGAACTAAAGATATATAGGAGCTTATCTTACACCAGTGAGTACTTTCACTTGGAATGGGGAAAAAAAAGTACAGTAGAGGAGGATGGTGGAAAGAAATGCAGGGGGAAAAACATTTTAAATTATGTAAAGTTAAAAAAAGATTCTGTACAAAAGAGTGGCTTACAAAAAATGGTCCTGTTATATTTATTGACAGTGATATAAGTGACGCACACACGACCAAGTTACAAGCAAAGAGAAAGAATTATTTATAACAGTAGTAGAAGAAAGCTTGAAGCCAACATTGAAAGTCCAGTGAAGTGTAATGGGAAGGAAGGAGCAGTATCTTTAGAATTTCCAGTCTGTTATCAAACACTTCCAGAAGAATGGGAGAATACAATAAAGCAAAGATAAACTGGTAAAACTTCAGGAAAATATATTGTTTGCTCTATCAGGTAATCCCAGTTGCCCCTCTTGCGTTTTTACTTCTGATACAGCCTGTTGCAGTGTTGGGAAAGCATTCAATGATAGGATACTTTTTGCCAAAAACTATGTATCGTATATATAAAAAAATCTACAGTAACACTGCTTTAAAAAGTGTTTGTGTTTCAGGAATATTAACATGTTCCATTCTGTGCTCATAATATATTCACAAATATAATATTCGCAAATACACCATTTCCTTTGATTGTTTACAAAATATGCTTAATACTTGATCTACACCATGTTCATCTGGTGAAGTCCAGTCTATTTTGTAAACTCTGTATATCATCATCATTAGAGTTGGAAGGCACCTTGGAGATCTTCTAGTCCAAACCTTGCTCAAGCAAGAGACCCTGCTTGATATAATTATTATTATATAATATATAATATGTATTAGTATTATAAATATAATTATAAAACGTATAATTATGCATTGCACATTTTATCTTTTAATTGTAGTTCTCAAGGCTACTTCCCTGGCATCTCTATTTGGTAAATGTGGTTATAAATTGTTCTTGTATTACTGTTTCAATTTTTCTTTCCAAATGGTAATTTATTATGTATATTATTTTTCCATAATGACTATGATTATTATTAATAATTAAACATATGCCTCCTGACTCACCAACTCTGGGTGGCTCACAACAATCAAAGAAATTGCAATAAAATCAATACAGCATAAGATAAAAGATGGCAAATGCGATGAAGCTTAGATTGCTTAGATTGTTTTTGTTTACATACATGTTTTTTACCCAAAATTATGAACAATTTATTGATCGGATTGTTTTTCTCTCAATGCTCAAGGACTCAGATTCAGATCTAAACGTGCTCTTTTGAATTACTTTGAAGAGGACAAAGACATCATTGTTACAGCAGAGGATTTTGATTTTACTATGGCTGTTCAGAGGAATACACGGTTAAGAACCAAGAGATCTTCTACCAGAAATGCAGGGACAGAAATTGAGCTTTGCATTTCTAGGAGTCCAGTTTCACTCCCTGGATTAGGAAACGGTGAAGGAGATTGTAAATCTTCTCTAGAAAGTAACTTGGGGCTTCGATCCAATACTGGAGAACCAGAAATTCCTGCTACCTGTTTGCAGGATGGGCCCAGTACGGGAGATATTTCTAAGGACTGTTTTTTCAAAAGTGATGAAAATGGTACTATTCGAAGAAAGGTTCCAATTAGAAAATGTAAAAACTCTTCTGAAATAAGGAATGTCACTGATGGCCAAAACAAAATACAGCATCTATCAGTACGTAAAAAACAGACAGGACGCAGTAAACGTGCCATATGTAAGAACAAAATGTGTGTACTTAATAGTGATACCAGTGACAACAAAGTATGCCGAAGAAGCTCAAGGAAAAGAAAAATATGTTTTAAGGATGAAATGTTGTTTGAACCAAACACAGAGCAGAATGATAAACAGATTGAACCTTTCTTAGAACACCAAACAAGCACGGAAATATTAAAATATACTGAGAGTTCTTGCAGCGGAATCACGACAACTGCTAATAAAAACTGCATTTCAATAGCAGAAATGCAAAGAAATGGGATTGCTTCAGAGAGTGCAAGTGAACAGAGTGCTTCCACTATGGATGTTACTGTTTCCCAAATGTGCAGAGAGAAACCTTTTACATCAGCCAAAGGTATGTGTTTTATGTATTTATTTTTCAAGAATGTCTATATTACCTCTCCTCCAAGACTTCAATTGATTTACAAATTTAAAAAAAGCCAGTAAAGGTGCTTGCTGCATCTCTGGGGAAAAAGCAGAAGTTGTTCCACTTCAGAAAAGGATTAGGTCTGTGTCCCTTTGATCCCTTCTGAGGATGGGACCTTAAACCAGGGGTCCCCAACCCCCGGTCCGCAGATCAGTACTAGGCCGTGACATGCCAGCAGCTGGGCCGCGCAAACAAGCAAAGCCCCATCCACAAGATGCAGGCAGCACACAAAACCACGCATCCTCCGGTCCGCGGAAAAACCTCTCTCCACGGAACCGGTCCCTGGTGCCCAAAAGGTTGGGGACCTCTGCCCTAAACAACCACTCATCCCTTCAGAACATATAGACTATGCAGATTCCACCCGAGGAGATGATCTGTAAGGTAACCCACGGACCAATCATATAGAATTTTATTAGTATTTCATAGTCAGGCTCTTTTATAATATTAGTACAATTATTGTAAAGAAAGAAAAGGGATCTTCTTAGTTCTTGACTCATGTAGTCCCCCCACTTATGACCAGTCACTTAATTATAATGAACTCCCAAAAATACTTATGACCCGGATTTGAAGTTCCAACAGCCAGGGTTCCCCTGCAGTCACATGATCATATGTTAGGTGCTCGGCAACCATCCACATTTAAAATATTTTTTGCCAGAAAAAGCTGTTTACTTCCATTTTCTGGCAAAAAATGCTCATTACAGACACTGAGTTCACTTAACAATGTTTCCTTAATAACTATGGATATTTGCTTAATGACCATCTCAAAAGTTGTAAAATCAGGTTAGTCATGTGATGACCAACAGGACTTACAATTGTCACTGTGGATTCAGTTATGGTTGTAAGTCAAGGACTACCTGTATTCCTTAGAGGTTGGGTATACTTGCATGGAGTGAAAAAAAGGGAAACAATCTAAAACACACAGACACACACACACTCCCGCTTAACCTACCTTCTTCCTGAAAACCAGATCTGGATAGTCAAAGAGGCAATGCTAGTATTGCAGAAATAAGGGATTATTGTTCTGTGCGTATCTTCTGTCCACAAAGAGCATAATTAAAACATTTGCATTTTTTTACTTGCTTTTGTTTTTCATTTTGCTTTTCTGCAATTAGAGAGCCATACTCAAAGAACCCAAGTGGAAAGGCGGAAAACAAGTCCATATTTTTCCAGAAAATTAATCAAAGAAGGTAAAAATGTTTTATAGGAAAATGCTTTGTGGAAAATTAGCATACTTATTTTTTTTAAAATAATTCTAATAGAATTTGCAATCTGATACTGTATTTATGTGGAAGCAGATTAAATTATTTTTATATTTGCACAGTAAAATGTAAGCAGAAATAAGTATAAATACTTATAGTTGTCTTTATGGGTAAATGAATAAGGGTAATATTTGGATGCATGACTTATAAACAATAGAATAATTTCAAATGTGTTATACGATATCAGTAGCTGTTCTGTTTCCAATGAAGATAGAATGAAGGGAGTAATCATCTGTGTATTAAATCATCCCTCCTGAAGAGATTTGGTCAGAGTTACACTGATTGGGTTCAGATGTAATGGAAAACTATTGTTTCCAACACGAGCAATCCCCTGGCACGTGGCTCTTATTCATGAATTGTAAGAACAGAAGGTTTTCTTATGGCATAGAGTGGTGGAATATAATTTAGGTTTTTAGAAGATTTTTTCTTTTCTTTTATATATTTTACCTACTCATGTAGAATAATATACTTTGTGGAGTTAGAGATATTAATATTTGTTTACTTATATCTGAATATTATCCTGGGATTAGGTTTGGGAAGTCCGGGGGGGTGGGGGGTTTTTCATATAGCATTGTGTAGTATTTGTGAATTTTTTTTTTATGATGAAAAATAATAAAATTTTATATTGAAAAAAAAAAGAAAGAAGGTTTTCTTATGATTTTAAAGAAACAATCATTCTCTACTAATAAATTAAGAACTGTGATTTATGTAAAATTCCAGCTGCTGAATTTGATTGAGGATTAGACCATAGCTTCCGATTGTTCTCATTAAGAAAAACTTAACAACCATGGTTCTTAATAGTTTCTCTTCACAAGAGAAAAGGAAAGTTTTAACACTGCCAGGCATATTTTGCTTCCTGTATTGCCAGTCTAACAAGCATCTAAACAGTGTCAGAAGGAAGCTGATTTTTTTATTCATCTGATCTCTCTTTAGAACTTGAAAAAGCAACCCAGACTCTCTTTGCCGCTATAGAAGAAGTAATTGTAGACAATAAAAGTAAATTATGGTCACTGTTTTTTTGTATGCGTGCTTAGCTCCAAGTCCACCAAGAAGGAAAACTTTCAGGAAATGGACTCCACCTCGTTCTCCTTTTAATCTGATTCAGGAAACTCTGTTTCATGATCCATGGAAACTTCTGATTGCAACCATATTTCTGAACAAAACCTCAGGTAAATAAGGAACTAATCACAACCACTTCTTGAATTCCCATGTATGGAATTGTTTCCCTATGGTTCAATCCAGTGCTATTGGGACATGTGCAATTCATTTTGCAGAGAAGTTAAAACAAATTTCCCAGGGAGTGCTAATCAGTTTGTAAAGTGCCATGTAAGCGTTTCTGTCCAAATTATGATTTGATGTATTGCTAGTGAATGTGGATTTGCTTCCTAAGAAAATGGCTATCATCCAGCTGGTAAGGAGAACCAGAAAGAGGACAGAATTGAGCTTAAGTTATGCAAAGTAAATTATAGATAGATAGATAGATAGAGAGAGAGAGAGAGAGAGAGAGAGAGAGAGAGAGAGAGAGAGAGAGAGAATTTAAAAATCAGCTGATAAGTGTTATGACCATATTGACAATATAAACCATAGGGCTGCTTACCACAACACTGATTTTCTGTCTGAAATTATGTGTAGGGAACTGTGAATCCTGTACATAAGTTGTAATAATATGGCTAAAAACTGTCAACAGGTTTGTGCCAAGTTACTTTTGTGCAGGAAAATCTGTCTTTTGAGAAATTGCAGCCAGCTTTGCAAATTCAGTGCAAATGTTGTTGTTCACAGATTCTTATTTTTGCCTAGGAAAGATGGCTTTCCCTGTGCTGTGGGAATTTTTTAAGAAATATCCTTCACCAAAGGTAGCAAGAACTGCCAACTGGAAAGAAATGTCAGAATTGCTTAAACCTCTTGGCCTATATGAACTCAGAGCAAAGACCATTGTCAAATTCTCAGGTAATATGGTATCTATAATCCATATGTTTCATGTATATTATCTCTTAAAATCTTGATACAGTTCTTTAATATATACCAATATTTTTATTTCTTATTGTGGTTAGGAGATCAAAAATGAGAGAAGATAATTTGCCAAAGGCCTCTTAATAAATTCATGACTGAGACATGAAGTGGAAACTTGTTCCATATATTTGAAGTCATTACCATTTAGCGCAGACATGTCAAACACAAGGCCCGGAGGCCGGATGCGGCCCGCGAAGTGGTTTCATGTGGCCCGCGAAGCCATCCTGGAAACAGTGAGGGAATGGCCCCCGCTGCCTTGGCCCTGGCCCAGGCTGGCCGGGAGGGAGCCAATGTACAATTTTGTGGTGGCCATCTATGCTGAAACGCATTCAGTCTTAGCTCCACAAGACCGTCTGGAAACAGCGAGGAACCAGCCCCTGCTGTGTCGGCCCAGCCCCCGGGGTGCATGCTGGGGAGGTGTCACCCTTTGTGAGGAATGAAGAAATGGACCATGCCTTGGTGCTTGCCCCGGCCCCACCCCCTTCTGCCAGAGACCCTCAGATCTGTCCCACTCCTGCCCAGGCCCCCACAGGCACCCTTGACGCGAACGATATAGAGCTGGCCATGCCCACCCAGTAGACTACACCCACTCCATCCACGCCCACCCAGTAGGCCGCACCCACCCGGCCCCCCTGAGGGCAACCGTAATGCTGATGCGGCCCTCAATGAAATTGAGTTTGACACCCCTGATTTAGCACCTCTTGTAAATTGTGATTCAAAAAAACATGTATACACAATCTCTATAATCTCTATTCATGAACTTTTTCATGTTTTTTTATTTCTGTATTGATACTTTTAAAATTCTTTTGTTATTCTTAGAACAGTTTGGAGAGTTTGGCATTGGAATATTTTAGTAATACGGCCTTTTTCAATTTGCTGAGAAATTATTTGGATATAGAAGTGAAGTGCACAAATCATCTGTGTTACTTATGAGTATTCTATTTTTGTTCAGTTACTGATAAACAAGCTCATACTTTATCAAAGTTTTTATTTCTTATAGTTTTTATAAATGAATAATTACTCTTTAAGTCTTATAATACATATTTCATAAACTTAAAATCAACAGAATTTAGTCCAGCTTTTTATTATGACATCTTTATTTTTTGTTCCTTAGATGAATATTTGGTTAAACAGTGGAAATATCCAATTGAATTACATGGGATTGGAAAATATGGAAATGATTCTTACAGAATCTTCTGTGTAAATGAATGGAAAGAGGTAATAGAGGGTCGTGTGTTTTTATTTCATGAAAATAATTGAAAGCATAATAATTTCAGCAATATTAATATATTAATATTGTTAATATTAATTGCAGCAATCTGTAACCTAGAAATAATGCAAGAGTTATAATTACAGCTACATACATGGATCATATGAATTAGAACTGCAGAAAATAACAGGATCTTGTGCTCTTCTACATAGCAATTTTTAAAAAACTATTATAAGACTGGAAAATCCTTTTTGCCTTTTGCCCTGTTGTGTCTTAAAAAACAACAATTGTTAGCTCTACAAAGTATTTTTAATATCACAGACTAATAAATAAAACAGAACCCTCCATACTTCTCTCATAGTTATCTTAGAGGTTTTGTGCTAATAAACAGTTTTGCTCTAGGATAGAGAGGGGTTTTTTTATACTTCAATAAATGCATATGAAATTACAATAAAATGTGCAAAATGGGCTTCAGCTGTGTATGAAAATACACTAGAGTGGTATTAGATTACTGATGCACTGATTAGGTAAAACATGTTCATTTCTCTTTCAGGTACAGCCACAAGACCACAAACTGAACGTTTATCATTCCTGGCTGTGGGAAAACCATGAGAAATTAAATATTAATTATTAGCTCTGTATAATCTCTTCGCCTCCCCTTTCTCACTTTTTAAGCTGTTTTTTTCTTCTATCCCACTTGATTAATTATAAATATAAATGTTCTTTTTATATGCCTGTTCAGAATTTATTAAATTCCATTATTCTATATAATTTTGCTTAAAAGTGATGTTTTTCATTTTCACTCCTTTGATCATGGAAATTTTAAATACTGAAGTTTGTTTAGTGTAATACATCAGAACGCAATAATCCAAGGCTCTATACAATTTACAATTTAGCAAGCATCTAGAGATGCAAATTCAGGTTACCGAGCCACCCCTCTGAAGAGGCTTCCTCTACTGCAGAGGTGTCAAACTGCCAGCCTGCGGGATGCGTCATGACAAAACCGCGCCCACCCCATTGCTGGCAATGGAAAAGTCGCGATACGTTGCGACACGTGACGCTGCGAGTTTGACACCTCTGCTCAACTGGTTGCTGTTTCTCATTCAGATTGGATCAGGGAGATGGTGATGGTAAAAAGAAACCAATCTCAAGGTGTGAATCTAGCTATTCTAACAGCTCCCATCCAAATCTGGTATTATTTACGATAGGTCTGTATCTCATGGGCTTTCTGATAGCAAATCATGTTACAAGATAGGAAGCCATGCCGATGAATTTAAAACAGAGTTTTTATTGTGATTAGAATCTGTGGCTTGTGGAAGAAAGCATCACAATTCAATACTGTTATGTTTCTGAAGAGGTAGAAGGACTGATGAAATGCCAAATTAGTTTTGTCCTCATTTTAGTCCCCTACATAGGTATCAAATCAAGTCTTTTTTTTCCCCATATTTGCTACCATTTTGAACAGCAAAATAGTTGCAGTCTCTAACTTAATATTGTATCTGATTTTTAGGTGGGATTTATCATTTCAGTGCTTTAGTTTAACAATTTGGCAGTAACCAGGAAAAGCTTAGTTTATGATAAACCTTGATCCAGTCGCTGGTTCACAACAATGTGTCAACTTATACAATATTATATCCAGCTATTTTGGCTTGCAAACCATAATTGAAGAAGCACGCAAGCTATTCCCGTCCCTGGAACTTGGTATAGAATAGATCAGGGGGTCTTCAAACTTGGCTCTTTTATGACTTGTGGACTTCAGCTCCCAGAATTTCTCAGCCAACGTGCCTGGCTGAGGAATTTTGGGAGCTGAAGTTCACAAGTCATAAAAAGGGCCAAGTTTGAAGACCCCTGGAATAGATGGAACCGCGATTAGCGCGATAAAGCCACCCCATAAATAGCTATTCCTCTTAAGATCCAGCTGCACATGTCATGAATGGAGGGGTCGTCAACACATGACGCAAGCTAGTAGTTACTCGGTTACTGTGGTGCTGCTATTAATTCCCCGCCCCGGCCCTAAAAGGGGGACGGAAGTGGGGAGGGGGAGGGAGCGCCGACGCGGGAAAGGCCGGCACAAAATTGACACGGGCGTCCCCGGGCTTTGCGACACAACGTTCGATCTTCTCCAGCTGCGCCAATCAACTGCAAGCCCGGCTGCCCGCCCGTTGCCTTGGTGCCCGCCAAAACCCATTTTTGCCTTGTGCTCTAATGGCGGTGCGTTAAGCGAGAGCGGGGCGTTGTAGTTCGGTCAGGGGTAGGCAACCTCGGCTCTTTTATGACTCATGGACTTCAACTCCCAGAATTCCTGAGTCAGCTATGCTGACTCAGGAATTCTGGGAGTTGAAGTCCATGAGTCATAAAAGAGCCGAGGTTGCCTACTCCTGAGTTAGGTCATTTTGTCCCCTCGCAGCTGAGAGGGAGAAAGCGCGGGCGAAGGGAACGAGGATTCTTCCCTCCTCCTGCTTTTTTTTCTCTTTTTCCCCCCGACTCCAGAATTGTAGAGAACGGCGGGCTCTTCCTCCTGTCTTCTGCACAGCCCAGTAAACAGCGCCTGTTGTTTTTTTTTTCCTGGTCCGAAGACGCCGAGGGTGAAGTTTCTGCGCTAGACACGTCGCAATGTCGGGCAAAATCGACCAGTTTAGCTGGGTATCTCAAAGCACGAGAAACCGGAGTGAAATCTCAGGGACTAGTTACATATCGCAATCTCTTTACGAGTCCATTTCTTCATTTCTCCGGTGCGTAGAATGCAGCACGGGTCACCTCCCGATTTAGAAAGCTCTCTCTCTCTCTTTAGAAAAGATTTTTGTTTTCGCCAGGGGTAAATAAATAGGGTTAATCCGATGTGATTGCAGAAATCGGAACGGTCGCTAGGTGGGAGCAAAGAGTGAGAAGGGCTGTGGAGATTCTCAAACATCCAGCACGGGTCCCAGAGATGCTTTTTCAGGAGGCAATTGGACTTTTTTTGGGGGGGTGGCGGGGTTCCCCTTTTCGCTTCTCATCCCAATTCTGAAGAAGCTTCTTGGGTGAGAAGCGAAACGTTTTCAAGGACAAAACCAGGCCAGTTGCCTTTTGGAAAAGCCCCTTTGGGACAAAGAGTAAGAAGGTTCTTTCCTCTATTTTCTTGGCATTGAATGGCAGGCTTAGAATGAATAGGTTTTAAGAGCCAGGGGATTTCTTTAGGAAACCAGTTTGGTTTAGTGCAGTGGTTCTCAACCTGCGAGTCGGGACCCCATTTGGGGTCGATCAACCATTTCATGGGGGTCGCCAAGCAAGGCTGTCCGCCATTTTTTTGTCCGCCATTTTTTCCCCTTTTCCGGTGGGTGCCTTACCTCCCTTGGGCTGGGCCAGCTGGTGATCGGCCTGCTCCGTCTCTGCCGCTTGCCAGCTACGCCTCGGCCGGCGCAGGGGGCGGAACCACGCATGCGCGGCGCTCCCGGGCAGGGAAAGTCCTCGACTTACGACCGGTTGGGTAGTCCTCGACTTACGACCAGTTTAGTCCTCGACTTACGACCGGTTTAGTCCTCGACTTACGACTGATTTAGTCCTCGACTTACAACCGGTTGGGGTCACGGCATTAAAAAGGTTGAGAACCACTGGTTTAGTGGTTAAGGCACTGGGCTAGAAAGTGGGAGAGGATGCCTTAGTCATGATATCCAGCTGGGTGACATTGGGCCAGTCACTCAGCCCAGCCTACAATGTGGTTGTTGTGGGGAAACTATGAGGAGGAAGGTGTGTTTTTGGTATGTTAGCCTCCTTGAGTTATTTGTAGAAAATAATAAAGGTGGGATAAATAAATAAAGCCATCTCCAGTCCACTAGTAAATTTTTTACACAACAGTGTCCCCAAACAGATGCCCTCCCTACATGGGAGATTGTAATTTCAGGCCCTGCCAATCAAGATTGGAAGCATTCTGTTAGCCACAGTTCATATGCCTGGACCCATCAAGTTCAATGCAAGAGCAGGAACTTTCAGAGGTTTCTGTCCCAGATCTACCCGGAGCAACACTTTGGAGTCTACCTGGAAATTTTTAATGCAATCTTTTTGACACTCTTAAGCTTTGTCCTTTCTCATTTGGTCTTTGGGAGGAATATGCAGAAACATCACTTTTGCACTGTGGCCTCATTTTTACCTAAGAAATGAAAGCTGCCTTCTCATAGATAGATTTTATCCCATATCTATAATTGCTGAAGAAATCCATATCTGTAAATATCTGCTGAGATCTTAGGTTGATTATATATATATTTTTTCTATCCCCCAAGAAAACAAAAATTAATGTTTACAGAAAATATTTTCAGGTGAACCATTAGGTATGTTTATTTTATTTTTTATTGTATCTTATTTTTTTTAAAGAATGATGGATGGGTGAGTGGTACTCATGATTTTGATTCTACCCAAATTCCTTCTTTTCAGTGAAAGTGAAAGTGAAAGTGACTCCATCGTAAATGAAGAGCCTGAAGAATCCCCCTCAGAGGGGATTTTAAGCCATTGCTTTAAACAGTATAAATTCAGAAATGAATATCCCTATTATTCTCTTAAATTGAAACCAAATAGATTTGGCCGGCCTAAATCTAGACGGCGTATTCATATTGCGCCACCTATGGACAGTGTAGTTCCTAGTATTCACAAGCCTCGGCCACCTGTCCCCAGTGAAGCGGAGAAAGTTCAGGAGTTAAGGGCACCTCCAGAGGCCCAGGACAGCATCTCCACTGAGGAGAGCGACCTGCTAAATATGGAAGCTTGGATTAAGGAGCGAAAAAAACTGCGTAATCTGTTGGAGAACTGTGTAAATCTGGAGGAATGGTTGACTGAAAAGAAGCCCCTCACTCAACAAGAAGAAAACATCCTGAGAAAAATAAAAGGAGAGAAGGACGCTAAAATTCAAGCCGAGTTGCTGGCTCTCCAAAGTGTTAAGGTAAGCATAGTAGGAGGTTAGCATGGTGTCATGGTGCAGAACCGATGACTTGACTTTCCAGATGTTTCTGAACTGCATTGGCAAGCTAACCCATCCAGCAGGAAGAATGGCATAAGTTGTTCCTCAGCCACATCTGGAAGGCTCCACTTGTGGATTAGAGTTAGGGACTATAATGGGGGAGAGTCAGTTAAAAGTCCTTGTTATCCATGATGTTCCTGAGGATGACTACAAGCCACCTGTACAACCAGTCTTTTTCAGTCCAGCCTACGTCTGAGGGCTGTATTGAGGATAAGGCAAGAACAACAAGCTTTTTAGAGGAAGGACAGCATAAAAATCTAATATGTAGATAATTACAATGTCCCAGGAACTCAATCCTCTGGATTGTCATCGTGCCTCAAAATTATACCTCACTTTTCAGGCAGGCTTCATACCAAGCCCAGCAATAAATCTTGGCACTATGGGCACTACATTTTGTATTCAGCAACTTGCTTATAGTAGTAGCACAAAGGCATGGCTATATGAAGAGATGATAAAGAAGCCATATATGCAAAGAGTATCTGTCTATTGCTGAATCCAGAGACCAAGCCCTGTGTATCTGTCTTTTCCAGATTTAAAGCCTTTTCCTCCTTATCTTTTTGAGTCAGCAGACTTTGGAAACATTTTGTTCCTAGTCTTGAAAGAGAATACAGTGTATTTGTGTAGACTTGGTGTTTATATACAGGTTGTCCTCGAGTTAATGACTGTAAAGGAGACTGGAATTTCTAAATCATGACAATCGTAAGTCAAGGCACCCACATGGCCAACCTGATTTTATGACCTTTTTTTTGCAGTGGTTGTAAAATGAATGTCGCAGTATTAAAATGTGTCTATTCATTCTTTTGGCCGTTTTTTGCCAGAAACCAGCAAAAAAAATGTAAATTGTTGTTATTTAACTGTGGAACAATGCAACTGGCCGTAAAAGCTAGTTGCCAAGCTCCCAGAATGCAGTCATGGAATTGTGGGAAGAGGGGGTACTACCATCAGAACTCTGGAACTTGGTGGTAAGTATCATTTGGGGGAGGCATCATAATTTTGAACAGTTGCTACGCAAATGTCATTAAACGAGGACTACCTATAGTTGTTCTCTCTGCCTAAATTTTATTGGATCCCGTCTTCTGATTTCCTTTGCAGCAAATATAAATACAATTATAAAATTATCTCTTACTCTGTTATTACCAAAGTGCTTGAATTAATGAATTTGACCTGTGAATGCAATTAGTGAAGCCACAAAATGAGATAAAAATAGGACATATGTCAGACAAGTTGTCTATTTGTTTTTTGCCTTCAGTAATATATTCACCAATTTGCTTGTGTTTTGCAATACAAGTGATGGTTGGCTGATCGACTGAACAACTAACCAAGTCTTTGCATTTCTGCGTCGTCAAAACGAAGTTGAGCATAATCCTTTAAAATGTTGGATGTCTTTCCGCAGACCGCACCCAAGAGTGAACCAGTGAAAACTACGCCTCTTATTCGGGCTCCATATCCGCCATCTATTATTACACTACAAAATCTTCTGCATAAGCAAAAACTCAAGCTTGTGGATCTCTTCAAAAAAGCTGACAGGAGCAGGACAATGAAATTCAAAAGAGTGGATTTTCTTAGAATTATCCAGGAGGTAGGTGGAAAAACCTTACACTCCCTAGTTGTTGATTTTGGTGGCTTTGAGTCACTGTTGACTCCTGCAGACTGCCTGGATAAGTCCCTGAATTTTTCTTGGCAAGATTTTAGAGGTTGGTTTGCCAAAATTCCTTCTAGGGTTGAGAGTGACTGGCCAAGCTCAACTCGTTGGATATCAAGGATATCAAGATAAGAGCAGAGTTCACAGTGTCCCATTTCTAGCCTACAGAAGTACCTTAACCACTGCATCACAGTGGCTATCATAATCACTAGTTAGATCAGCATAAATGTAGGGATTCTTTCTTGATGCCTTAATAGGGAAAAATTGCACATTGAGTCAATAAGTGCTTTTATTTAGTCATTAACTTCACTGACAATATATTTTTTTTTCTCCGTAGATCATGAGGGGAAGGGAGCATTTTGGCTTAGCATATTGAATACCCTCCATTGTGATTTATTAAAACGTGTTAAGCTAGATGTGGGAAGCCTATGAGAAACATGGAATCCCCAGCTCTTATTTTGCAGTTCTGAGTGCAATTCCACATCATATTGCCAAAATACAACAGTAAAGCCATCAATATTTAGTTATATGATTCTCTCTTTTTTGGCCATTTCAGAGGTTTAAAAGTTTCATAATGAGTATTGTTGTTGTTCAGTCACTAAGTCATGTCCGACTCTTCATGACCCCATGGACCATAGCACGACAAGCTCCCCTGTCCTCCATTGTCTCCTGGAGTTTGCCCAAATTCTGTTTATTGCATCAGTAAGACTATCTAACCATCTCAGCTTCTATTCTTTACTTCTTTTGCCTTCAATCTTTCCCCACCTCAGGGTCTTTTCCAACGACTCCTCTCTTCTCATTAGGTGGCCAAAGTACTTGAGCTTCAGCTTCAGTATCTGTCCTTCCAAATCAATCCCAAATCAGGGTTGATTTCCTTTAGGATTAACATAATGAGTATATCAAGACTTAAAACTGGCTTTCAGAAAACAATTTAAACATTTTAAAATGTGATTGCTCAGTTGTCCTCAGTGAATTACAGTTAATTGAATAAATCACAATTAGTTTGGTTTGCATAACGACTCAAAATTATTTATTAATTTTTATCCTGTTTTTTTACTTTATGCAAGGGCAATGTGTTTGCCGCCCTGAGTTATTTACGAGGGCCATTCGGAAATAAACCTCCGTTTGGTTATCAATGACAGACACTCACAGATACAGAACTTTTATTATGTACATTAGAAAACTGCAACATTACATTACTTTTCAACATAATCACCATTCAAATTGAGGCACTTGTCATAACGTCTTACAAGGTTTGAAATTCCTTAGTAGTCGCTCGGCGCTAAATCTTGGCTATGGGAAGGGTGATCAAAAGCATCTCAATGGAACCGCTTCAAAAGTTCTTGGGTGCGTCTAGCGGTGTGCGGGTGAGTATTATCGTGAACCAACATCACACCGGAAGTCAGCATGTCCCGACACTTGTTATGGATGGCTTGTCTGAGTTTTCTTAACGTTTCACAGTAGACTTCTGAATTGATGGTTGAATCAATTGAACTTCACTAGCAGTACTCCTTTGGCATCTTCACATTTGGCGGGATTTTCTATGGCACCACTTCTGGTGTGGTGTTGGTTCATGATAATGCTCACCCACACACCACTAGACACACCCAAGAACTTTTGAAGCAGTTCCGTTGGGATGTTTTTGATCACCCCTCCCCCCCATAGCCCAGATTTAATGCCAAGTAACTACTAAGGAATTTCAAACCTTATAAGACGTTATGACAAGTGCCTCAATTTAAATGGCGATTATGTCGAAAAATAATGTAATGTAGTTTTCTAATGTGTATAATAAAAGTTCTGTATCTGTGAGTGTCTGTCATTGATAACCAAACGGAGATTTATTTCTGAATTGCCTTCGTGAATAACTCAGGGCGGCAAACAAACACATTTTTCTCTTTCCTCCTGTTTTCCCCACACCTTTGTCAGATGGGTTGGGCTGAGAGAGAGTGACTGGCCCAAAGTCACCCAACGGGCTTTCATGCCTAAGGCAAGAGAAAAACTCAGTCTCCTGATTTCTAGGCCAGCATTTTAATCACTACACCAAAATTCATAGTTTATCAATAGAATAATTGATTTTATATATATGGAAAGCCTAAAATGTTCTTAAAAGTTTGCTTAGTATTAGACAAGTAAAGAGTCATTTTCTATGACTAGAAGATTTTATTAATTTAATTATTAATCTTGTAAAGTTTGTTCCTGAGTTGGCTCCCTGCAGTTTGATAGATTAAGAGCAAAAAATACATGAGCACAGTAAAGTTTGATGAAAAAAAATGAAGTTGAAATCTTAATACTTGGGATCATTACCATTAACCAGACTTTTGATATAACATTTTAAGTTCTTGTCATCTATGGTTAACTTACATTATATTTAAAGAAACATTTATATATCCTAATTCTTTAGAAGCATGCCATATGAAAGTAGTTTCCATTCACATATCCCTACCTGAATGAGAGTATCTGTGTGTGCAAATATAGCACAGGAGTCTTAATAAAAAAAGAAAAAATTTCAACTGCTTCATAGCACTTTTTAGTTAAGAGAATCACGTGAGCATCACCAGTTTGCAATTCGCTGATGTTCAAAGTGCACATTGCTTATATTGCAATCATTGAGCTGCATGATTTCTCATAAAGACTGCACATTCTATTTGCTCATTCAATCGGGACCTGTGCACGTAGTAATAAACTGGACCATAGTGTGTACATATCTAGCTATAATGGGAAGATACCAGTGTAAGAAATTGCTGTCTTTGAAATAGATGTTTCCCCTTGGATTTTTTTATCACGTCAAGTCCCAGACCTAACTACAATTTTTGTTTCCAGACCAAGGTGCCTATCAGTAAAACTGACTTAGAAGAAATCATTGTCTTTCTCACCATTTCAAAGAAAGGACATATTATAACTGGTGCTGACCTGGCTGAATGTCAAAGGTTATGGACGGATAGTTTAAGGGACAACTGGAAACAGCCAAAGCAAGGTAACAAGGGAACTAAATCAATACAGGTGATTGAATAGTTTTCAGTCCCTGGTAAGTTTGATCCTGTAGTTCTGATTTACAGATTTAGTTGTTAATGGCATCATAAACAAATATCTAAGGTTTCTGAAGGCATTTGAAGAATAGCAAGTTGGGGAGTACATAAATAATTTAAGAAAAATTAACATTCTAGCCAGTGACATAATACTATATTGGTATTGGCTATAGGTTGGCTGCAGTTTGGCAATTTAATATATGTAAAGAAATAAGAAACAGTCATATATAGTCATATGTATTTGTTATTTTGGTTATTTTAATAGATGTTTAAAACAGTGGAGATTAGTAATTATTGTGAATACCAACTGTTGAAAATCAATGTAAGACAGACCATTTTTCTAATTTCTGAAAAAGTATTTCCTGAACTAAGAAGAAGCCAGCATGATAAAACAGCTCAATAGTTGATGGCTTTGTAATCTGGTTTCTGTTTTTTTCCCTTTGTTTTAATAATCATGTTAAAGAGCCATTGCCTGTGACAAAAACTGCATCCATCACTGCAAAAGGAGATTTAATCCCTCATGCCAAGTCCAGTATATCTTCTCAGGTAGCTTGTCCACCCAAGTCAAACCATTTGCAAGTTCCTCCCATCAACACTGAAACAGATCGCAGGCACTTAACTTATAACCAGATGGAAATAGTTGGGAAGAGATACAAGGAAACCAGACGACGGCTAAAGGTACTATATTTTTGTGGCCAGACTCAAATCATTTGCTTTGGATCATGGGAACTGACTACTACTAGCTGGTTGCATTAAGTAAGGATAAATTCTAGGCAGAAGGCCATTTCATTTTATAGTACTGGTAAATCACTAAATGTCTCAACAAATAGCCATAGCACTTAGACTTATATACCACTTCACAGAGCTTTACAGCCCTCTCTAAGCAGATTACAGAGTCAGCCTGTTGCCCCAACAATCTGGGTCCTCGAAAGGATGGAAGGCTGAGTCAACCTTGAGCCAGTCAGGATTGAACTCCTTGCTGTTGGCAGAACTACTGCAATACTGCATTCTAACCACTGCGACACCAGGGCTCCTGAAATCTAGGGGAAAGGAACAGCACCAGAGAATGGTGAAAAAGGAAAAAGTCCAATGAGGGCGGCATTCACAAAGATGCCTGCCAAAGTAATTCCCTATCAATGTTCACTTAAATGCAGGCAGCAGAAGTAGCTCTACCTCTGTGGAAGAGCCCAGCATGTATAATTGCTGGCTAATCCTATCATCTTTCTATTAGAGGAGTAGCACCTTCCTTGGATCTTGAACAGCAGTTTTCCTATTTTCAATCAGGTTAGATGATGTAATGGGTTTCCCCATTGCTGAGTTAAAGCTGGTTGAGCTGGTTAAAAACTATACACTTATGAACCTGCTCTCCCTGTTGCCAGTCTCTATACTGTCTATTGCCACTGTTTCCCAATGCTAACAGTCACCCTGACTTACCTCCCAAATAATGGGTGATATTTATTTATTTTTATCATTTTTACAAATAACTCAAGGCAGCGAATGTACTTAACTCACCTTCCTCCTCCCCCTCCCCTGGGATAATGGTAAGAATACAACTTTAACACTAGACACCTGTTCAGTATAAAATGCAGAAATGGCAGAAATGTAAATGGGAAGACCCACGGAGTACTGATTTCCCCTGAACTAAAATATTGGTTTGTGACAGTGGGTATGCCCTCTATAGTTTCCCTCAGCAGTAAAGCAGAGATTTTATAAACTGCATTTTGACTTTGACATTGAGAATTGATTGCTTAGAGCAGTTGCTGCAAAGTTGTTATTGCTATACAGCAAGTGTCCCCAGTTCACATCTACGCAACATTTTTAAATCCATTTTCAGTACAGGTCTGCACAGAGATCTGACTTCTTTTTTGCGGTAGGACCAAAAAATGTCTTTTGTCCTTTTAATTAATGTCTCACTATGTTACAACTTTAGCAGTATAAGAACATTTATTGCACAACAGTATTGTTTTATAACAGAGACACTGTCTTATTTTTACAGAGGAAAACTAATCCATTAGACTTTGCGGAACAGTGTAGACTGGTGAGATCTGGAGACCCGATTGTCGATAGTCACTGCTTGCCAAGCTGCCTAGAGGGTGAAATGGGAGAATTGGTGGACCAGCATCGCCTGGCATGCCACTATGTCTACTTTCAGTGTGTGAAGCTTTGCAAAAAATATGGAATTCCAATTTCAGAAAGAGCACTAAAAAGAGGTATGAAAAAAAACACGGAAGGAGTGCCTTATATCAAGCAGCCCAATCCAAATTCAACTTCGTGTTTAAGCTTTAAAGATTCAGGATGGAAGCCACTAACAGACAAAAATGCTAAGGGGAAGGTATTTTGCATTTCTAAATTCAGGAAAATGGGTCTAGTAGTGTTGTGATAGTGCTTAGAAATCAACTAACCCACTAAAAGTCATGATGTTTCTAAATAAGGATGCTAAAGATTGTGTTGAGTAGCTCCATGCAGGACTGTGAATTAAAATAAAAATATTTTTTTAATCCTTATGATTTCAAAGGCAGGTTCCAGAACATGGGCAGTACCTAGTAATCTAATATCTGAGAAAAACTGAAACGTTATTCTCCTATTTATTTATTTATTTATTTATTTTTTGGATTTATATCCCGCCCTTCTCCCGTAGGACTCAGGGCGGGATATAAAGTTGCATAATCACCATCCATCTAAATCAGAGGTCCTCAACCTTGGCAACTTTAATTTATTTATTTATTTATTTATTAAATTTATATACCGCCCTATCTCCCTTGCGGGACTTAGGGCGGTGAACAGGCGATACTAAAAACCACGGTAATAAATAGTTTGTTTTAAAATCGAATTAAATAACGGGCCTGTTCTAAAAACACACCCGTAAAAAACCCCCCACTGAAACATAATCAAGCTACTTGTGGACTTCAACTCCCAGCTTTGCTGGCTGAGGAATTCTGGGAGTTGAAGTCCACAAGTCTTAAAGTTGCCAAGGTTGAGAACCCCTGATCTAAATAGAGGGAAAGGCTTGTTAATTCAAGGGACACTGATAAGAAAATAATAAAGCATATGTTGGGCTCCTTCAGATAGTTTCTGCACTTCTTTAGGTTTCTGTAGCTCAACCTTGGCTTGTATATAACACTATATCAGGGTTTATTTTGTGATCTTGTCTCAAACCCTGAATTAAAGCTGCTGTCCCAGGCTCATTTCCTTAGTGAGGCCCAATGAGTTACCCAGCTTCCAACTTTCATATAAAAAAGAATAAATGTGTGATCCACACTGCAGATTGTCAATTACATATAGACATTATTCTGCTCCATCATTTTTAAAGAATCTACCTGCCTTAAAATGGATAACATTTACGGTTTGCAATTGAGGCTGTCTGTAAAGTTTAGAATGACCCATTGGTCTGCACAGGTGATTTTCCTGGGCCATTGTAAATCCAGCTATTGGTCTGTTGTTCAGAAACAGTGATTGCTGCTCTTAGAAAACAACTCAGTCACTTAAAGTTCTAGTGCAGCTGTAACAAGTTATGCAACATAGTAGGAGAATAAAGTTTAATTTCTTTTTTTTGTAGTAATTTTATTAAACATTACAATGAAAACAATAAAACTAATACAAATTTTAAAAAAAAGAAAACTTCCTTTCATCATAAATAAATAATTTTAGTAATTTATCCCCTTCTCTTAAAAAACAACAAATGATGTCTTCTACCCATATCCCATCTCTTATTTATAAAGAAATCATTAAAGCCTTTTCATTTCAGTCCTGATGTCAGCAAAAGTCCATTAAGGGTTATCAGAGATAATGACATATCCGTTTTAAGCTTGATCAGTAAACTAACCTTATATTCCTTCCTTTTACTTCAAACAATCTCAATCTTTAGTCACTCCAAATAATGTCCTAAAACTTGATTTCTTTCTTTTTTCTTTCACCCTTCTCATAACATTCTTCAAAGCTTTAAGAACTCTCTTTTGTAAATCCAATATAGGAAAATTATTCAGATGCACAATCCAGAGCTTAGACCATTTGAACTGAGATGGTGCCGCTGGGGACAAGGAGCCATTGAAATGACCGCTCATGCCCTGTTGTGTTGTACCCTCTATAAGGATTCACAGACTCATAACTCCCTACCTGATAAAAATACTGGGAAATTCTGATCTCTCTTATGTACAGGTGTTATTATTGGATCAGTATGATACAGTCCCCTTGAACATAGCTAAATTCGGCTACCCTTTCTATAAAATTAGGCAGATTTTGGCCGCCCATCAATGATCTCACCGCTAACTATAATATAGTATTATATCTTGTTCTGTTTTATTTTATTTCAATGTTTTAATTTTTAATTCTGGTCTGTGGCTGTAATAAAAGATTGAATTGAATAGACTGCGTAGTATGTTACAGTTGTTCTTTTTTTAAAAAAAACAACACAATGTGTACCGTAGGTCTGCTCTACCCAGGAGACAGGCTCCTGACACTTGGAAAGTACTCCCGGAAGTTGAGGCAGCCAGGAGGATATATTGACAATTCTGTTTACCTGGGGGAATCATCTGATGGGGAAAGCTCTTCCAAGGTTGAAGAAAGGTTTGTTTAATGTATCATGCACACACAGAGATAAATTAACCAGCACAGACGTTCACACAAATTCTTAGTCTAGCACAGGGGTCCCCAACCTGTCGGATGCAGCTGCTTGGCCACTGGGCCGCGTGAAGGGATGGCCAGTGCACACGCATCCAGCCCCATACTCGCACTAGCACCGCCCTGAGCACCGCCCTGAGCATCCTGCCATCGCTAGCGCCACCCCACCCTGAGCGTCCCACCAGTGCTAGCGCTGCCCCGAGCATCTTGCCGGCTCTAGCGCCATCCCACCCCCAAGCTCCCCACTGGCGCTAGCGCCGCCCCGCTCCCGAGCATCCCACCGGCACTAGGGCCATCCATAGCATTCCGCCAGCACTAGTGCTGCTCCATTTGCAGTACTCGTGCCCGTGCAGCTCCGTTTGCACATGCGCATGTGCTCATGGGTGGCTGTTTCCGTGTGCACATGCGTGCGTGTGTGGCCCATTTGCACATGTGCATGGCCTATTAGTGTGCACGTGCGGCCCATTTGCACATGCGCACGTAGCAGTGGCTGCCTCCCTTTCCGGGCCGCCAAAACAAAAAGGTTGGAGACCTCTGGTCTAGCATATCACTGTTAAAGCCAGAGGTTTTTTTTCATTTGCTATTTTGAAGAGCAGAAATATATCCTGGATTATTCTCTTATTACAGTAATTATCTTCCAGTTGGGTACATGTACATAGGCAAACACTTGTGGACTAGTCAGTAGCTAATTTTTGAATAATCTAAAATTAAGGTATCACAGGTATTTTTGATATACATGTTACCACTGAGAACATTCTACACTGGCATAAATTTGTAGGATACAGAGCTGGAAGAATGATGGGGTGTGCTTTTATTTAGCTGTAGAACTTATTCTATAACAGCAAATCAATAGCAATTTTTCTCTTTAGATTTTTCTCTTCATGTTAATCCTTTTTATTTTTAAAGCTCCAAATCCTCATTTATTTAAGTTTCATACGAACCTGAGGTGTACACAGAACCTGAGGTGTTATGTGGCTCCTCCAAAGCTTTGAATAGGCTCCCCAGAAAGTTTGAATATGATCCTCAGAAGCCAGAATTTGTCACAAAGTTATAACTTCAATAGGACAGAAGGAGAATATACACTTTTTAAAAACCAAATGCAGCCCTCGGCCCTCAGAAAAGATATGTACTCTCATTGGCAGAGAGAACAGGTTCTCTCCTGGTTTTAACTACAATTCCCAGTAACTTTCCCCGCTTTGGATATAAAAGATGTTGGGGATTATAGTCCAGCAACATCTTGTCTTCAGCACCTCACCTGTGTAAAATAATTGCTGCTCTTTTCTGCCACTGCAATTAATAAAAACTGAGAAGGGATGCTAATTCATTTATGTGCCCATCACTATTTGCTGAACTGTAGACAATTCATAGCAAACATATTAATACCTCGAAAAATCCACTGTAAAAATAGATGGTAAATCAACATCACTATAAAATAACACTAAGGACCTCCAACCTCACATTGGCCTAATCTGTCACCATAGGCCCTCTGAAACAGTAGTTTTCAGAAGTCCAATTTGATGTCAGTTGGAAAGCACTTCTGCCATCTAGGCACAGCCACCAGAAAATCCAGCATCTGCAACTCTTGGTCCTCCCCACATGGCAATTGTAGGGACCTTAAGTAGTTTCTCCCAGGATGCCTGAATTGGGTGCATACAGTTCTGTGTAGACCACGGGTGTCAAACCGCCAGCCTGCGGGCCGGTTGCATCATACAGAGCCCACCCCAGCTCCGGCAATGCAAAAAAAGTCGCGACACGTCACGTGACGCGGCGAGTTTGACACCCGTGGGGTAGACAAAGCAGTCCTACTAATACATTAATGCCAACTCCAAGTTGCCAACACATTAATGCTTAATTGTTTCCTCAATTTCCGCTAATCAACTTTTGACCCAGTTAGGTTCACATCCTCTCAGTGCTCTAGCTGTGACGTGAGAAAACTTTTATAGATGAAAGTAGTAATAATAATGATAATCGAATAAACCACAATGTTCAAAGGCAGAGTTCTTCTGAAAACAATACAGTGAGAACAAATCAGAACTGGCTGCTACATGTTAGGTCTTGTATGTATGTTTCCCTGGAGACGTTTGGCTGGCCACTATAGAAACATAATGCGGGACTAGATCTGCTTGAGAGAACATGCAGAGCATTGACCTTTACAGATTTTGTTTCCTTGCATCTGGTGATAAATTTTCATAATATGGAATATTCTGTACTGTTGCTATTCTTTTTAAAGGGCTGTGCTTTCATATGTACAGCTTTTTGCTTTTTCTTATCTAGTTTACTTTAGTACAAATGTTAGAGACACACAAATAAGTGATCCCCACCCCAGTTTTCCTGAACATACTATGATACCTTCTTCCCCATTAATATCTAAAAATTCTGGAGTTATAGTAACATTTCTTTTTAAAAAATCAGCTTGGGGAGGACTGGTCTGATCTTATGGACTAAATTTCTGTTCACCTTTTTTGTTTACTTCTAGAAAGCCAAAACCAATTAAGAAAGAAGTCAAAAAGCAACCTCGGACCTGCCGCTGGGAGTCATTTAAGGAATTTAAGAAACTGATGAGGTATGTATTCAGGAGGATGGAGTATTATCTAAAAAGCTCTTGGAATAATGGAGTTTCAGTATCCACAAGCTGTCATTTCCCTTCCATTCAGGTAGGCCACCATTTACTACTGTTCGCTTAATGACCATTTGAAATGACAAGAAACCTTCTCTACAAATCTCTACAACCTATTTTTGGAGTTACAATGGCTACATACACAACACACGATCACATTTTGGGCATGCAGCAACTGACTCACCATTATGGCTGTTTGCACGGCTGTTTGCAGTGTCCCATAGTCACATGAACACAATTCACAACATTATTTTTTTTTGCCAGTTTCCAATACTCCAGTTTCCAACAAAAAACACCCTTTGCGGAAAATGGATTTGCTTAACAACCCACTGGGTTCACTTAACAACTGTGGTAAAAAGTGTTTGTAACTACAAATCTGTTCATATGATGCCTAGATTTACAACTGCAACAATTTAACAGCTGTAATTCTCGGCTCAGTTACAGTTGCAAATCAAGGACTACCCATATTCAATTTGACTTAACCATTCTGCAAACGGCTAAAAAAAGCCATTCTGATTTTTATGTTCTGTTTGTAAAAACTTTTTTTTTTCTTGGACTTCTGCTTGCTTGCCACATAACATTGATTTTTGTTGTAAATCACTATTCTACATAATCCTGCATGTTGTTGGTAAGAGTATTTTGCCATAGGAATAATAGAAGTATACATCTTCTTATGGAATATTTCGATGCCATGAGATCAGCAAATTTTCTGCAGCAGGATTGAACTGAGTATTTTTTCAGTGGGCAAGACACAGAGTTAGAAATTTATTTTGGTATTACAGAATTATCCTAAAATTTTGTTTTCAGTTTCCAGAGGTTCTATGCTAATGGAGCTGGGTAGTTTGCTAAGAAAGTTGCAATGCTGGCAAACTTTTAGGAATATTATACCGTACTGGGAATTTAAAAAAAAAAAATCCTATAGAATTTTATTTGAAATCTATGTAGGATTAATAATCTCAAATTGAGGGATGTGTGGTATGAGGCCGAAAACATTAAAATGCATTTATGCAATTTATTTGCAGAATATGCAAAGGTATCATAGTAAAGATATCATAACTGATTCTTTGGGGTGTATCTAAAGAATTCAATTCAATTTATTTATTATTACAGCCAAAGGCCACACATAAATCAAACACCCAAATAAAATAAAATTAGAAATCTGTGAATGAATGTGAATATAAATGTGCAGATCTCTCTTATTTTCTCTATCTTTAATTTACAAAGGAAATTTGGATTATTTCAGCATTTGTGATCATGGCTGTAACAGTAAAAGAAGGAAAACAATTGAACAAGCTAGAGGGAGTCTTATTTTGATGCTGTCCTACCTTGACAGTTGTCCATACAAAGGTGCATCTCTTCTCTTACAGATGGAGAGAAAATTAGGGGTAGTTTTTGCTGTTGGGATATTCAACTCTAAAACTGGATTTAGGGAGGACAACAAATAATTGACCATAATGGTAGTTTAACAGAGACTTTATGTTGAAAGCAGAGGCTATGATTCTAGCCCAATGTTCCTTAACCACAGCAACTTTAATATTGGACTTCACATCTTAAAGTTGCTGAAGTTAATAAAGGACACTGGGCTAGCCTGTTATTTCCATTTACCAATATACACTCTACTGTATGGCATTTCTTTTTTTTGCCATCCAGCTGTCCAACTTCTTTTTAAATACCACTTGATTCTAAATTGAAATTCTTTACACTTTACAGTCCACACTCCAAAAGAATACTTCCTCCACTGGATATTTGGAATGTGAAATTTCTGGATGAGAATTTGCCTGAGAGTCCAGATGTGCTTGCAAAAAAATACATGGAAAGGTATGAGATTACATTTCTTTTGTTGAACTTGGCATTAAAGATCGATCTATCTATTATCTATCTATCTATCTATCTATCTATCTATCTATCTATCTATCTATCTATCTATCTATCTATATATATATATATATATATATATATATATATAGAGAGAGAGAGAGAGAGAGAGAGAGAGAGAGAGAGAGAAGAGAGAGAGAAATAGAGAAAGAGATAAAAGTTTTTTTCCAATGTATTTTAATGGCATATAGGCAGCAATTAAATCTGATGTATTTAACCTACATTTTCTCAACCTAGATGTCTTTGAATTCCCACAATTTTCAGCAATTTTCTCATGTGAGCAGGAGAATTCTGGAAAATGATGTGTATACCTCTAGATAACACCCAGATTTGGGAAAGTTTATTTAAATCTAACTATTAAGAATCACAGACATCAAAAATAATTTTTAAAAAATTTAAATGTAGCATCCAAATAGAAGTACGATAGTAAAAGAAAATGTAAATCTATTTTACTAGAAGTTGAGTCTCTATCCTAACCAATCCATACAGGCAAAAAATTGCCTATTTTTACTTACAATTCATGAAAGGGAAATAGTTTTGTTAGTTTTGATAGTTTATATTTTTTAATTATAATGTAGCTGGCTTTAAAAGGTACTTATTTTTTTGTGTCAGTTTCAAGCAGTTTCTGCTTTAGAAATCAAATTTTTCAGGATATATAATAAATGCAGATGCAGGTGAGCTCCACTAGGAGGCAGCGTTGCAGATCAACTTTGACCCAAGCCTTTTAGTTTGCACTTCAGATTTAGGTTACAGTACTTTATTTTAATTTTGACTTAGGGTTTATTCTCATTAAGGTGACAACAATAAAATTTCAGTTCCTCTTTATTTTTTGATTTATGTACATATAGGAATTTCATATTAAAATGCATCAAAACAACATATTAAACCTAAACCATGGCTTTCACTGCATACTGCAGTGGTTCCCAAACTTTTCTATACCCTGGATCCCTAGAACGCTTCTGATATATTCTCGCACCCCTTAAAAAAGTTCAAAATAATGGCAATGAATTATGCATATACACTATAATTTTGAAACTTCTAAATCCAAGTTTTTGCACCCCCTGGAATATCATCTCACACCCCCAGGGGGTGCGAGCACCCCTGGTTGGGAACCCCTGGCATAGTGGCAATCTGGCAAATTTGGAATCAAATAAGCCACATTGCAGTTTATGTTCAAACCCTAAATTTTTCTTCCTTTTTTTTTTTTTTGCAAAATGAAAAAACTTCAGTTTATTAAATCTCCACCTCGTTTTTTCTGTATATTGTTTCATGATCATATTATTTGCTTGCAGAGAACTGAGGAGAATGTATAGCTATCTGAATCCCTTGACCAACCCTAATAATTTCTGGCCGGGGCATCTTCTTGATAAGCTGCGCTTGTGTCTACCTGAATCAAGACAGGATAGAAGTGAAGTTCTGTTCAGCCATGTTTCTCACACACACCCAGTCAATCCTGGTATTCACGTTCCTCATCGCAACTGGCCGGTCAGCAACAAGGGATACACGACCTAAGGGGATCCAGAATCTCGCAAACATAACTATTACATTTGATGGCATTTTTGAAGAACGTGACCAAGAAATCTGCTGCATTGGACTAACAGAGGGGTCATTGTCCCGTTTATACAATACGACAAAATTATGACTTGGTGAAAGGGGCTTTCAGACAATCAATTCGTATGTATTTTAAGCATGTTGCATGAATTACCATGGTACAGATTTTCAATGAAAGGTTTGTTTAATTAGAGAAACAGCTTTTCTTCCATTCCCTCCTTAGAAACATACAGTAGAGAGGAATCACAAAGCAGCAAATTTTTCAATGGGTGGGAAATTGGTAGTCTTCTAAAATGTTATTACGGTTCCCATTAGCTTTGACAGTCAAACGGACTCTTCCAATTTGGTTGCACATTCCCCTCTGTTATTTCAGGAGATGCATTGATATTGTTATAATAATGGTACTGCTCAGAAGGGTGAGGGAGATGCAAGGGTTGTGTGGAAGAAGACATATTTTGTTTGCAGAATGTCCCATTTTTGTGTCCTGGCATTTTCAGGCAAAAGGACTACACTCCATCAAGCAACAAGACTCTAGCTAAGCATTCCGTTTCCAGTATGACCAGCAAAGTGCATCTGGAAAACCTCTAAGCTGCCCTGGGTTCTCCCTTTACAAGAAGATAGGAATTTCCCTTGTTTATAATCTTCCTATACTGCAGATAGTTTTATCAACCTATATCATATACTGTCCTGCCTGTATTTTTTCCTAAAATGGTCATCTCCCGTCATAACTTTTCCTAATGGAGATGGAAGATGGTCAATTTTTGTCTCATCCTGTAGTATCTGCTTGCAATATACTGCACTGTAGAAATGGAAATCCTATACAATATAAAGGGCTTTCTTGATCCAAATGATCAGAGAGCTTCTGCATATTGTTATATACAAAATTTAAGGCACAACTTTGTACTCAATTAGGATAAAGAGCAATTTTGCACTGCCAGGATCATTCCTGAACAATTCAGGCATAGGATCAATATCTAACTTTAAATATTTCATTAATACCATTAGATATTTCATTTCATTAAAGAGATCAGTTTTGTTCCCTGTTAATATTGATGGTGAGCCCTTTATCACAGCACCCTTAATGAAATCAAACACAAATCTAGTCAAATTTTACAGGTGATTGTAGCTGCACACAATTTCACACTGATTAAAAGCTACTATTTGGAGAATTACAAAATTCCATTTAGGTCGTGTCTGATATTCATTGAGCCTTTATACTAGGAGACCCACTAGCAAGGCTTTATTACTTCAATGGCCCCATTCTTGCTGGACAGGTAAACTTCAATAAGTCTGACTTGACTGCTACAGCCAACTTTGAAAAGATTTAATTTAATAGAAGGGCTTTTCAGACACTCTTTTCCTATAGCTTTTTTTCTTGGAAGATGGATAAAGTGAAATGATTGGATTTTGGTTTTCTTACAGTCCAACCTTATGCAATATTAGGGTCACTTACATTAACTGTGGTATGAACAAGCTCTGGCAGTGTCTTCTGCCACAATTCTCCCCCCCCCTTACAGATGAAAATATCTAGGCACAGCTGTTGGTGCCACTACCTACCGTAACAGCTCCCTACAATACACTGCATTGGGGTGGGGATTTGAAAGAGTACTAAACCAGTTCTCAAAACCAGCCTCAAACAGCTGATGAGGCTGAGCGAGCTGCCCAATCAAGCAGGAGAAAAAGTTCACAATCCAGCAACTTGCTTTCGACAGCTACTATAATGTTCAAAGTGCTCAACCCAATTTCAAAACAAGCCTGCTAAACAGATGATCATAAGGCCAAGGAAGCTGTATCGTAAAATGGGAGAGCTGATACAAAGGTTGAGGAGATGGGAACAGTAGTTCCCAGGCTAGAGATGACCATTGCATAAATGTATTGCCAATACCTAACTTCAAGGTTGCCAAGCATCTGTTAATAAAGAAGAACATAAGGATAAAACCTTTGGGAAAATAGAAAAAAAAATTGCATTGCCAAGAGATATTGATTTATGTGTGTGGCTTCAATGTTGTCTGCAATAAACATCCTACCATAATTACTGTAGTTGGGAGTTGATGTGAGTCTTCTGTCAAGCCATGCTGAGAATGTTGGTTTGAGGTGAAAATGCTGGGAGCTTGTTAAATGACTTGTCCAGTAGATTGCTTAAAGCTGCCAGGTGACAACTTCCTAATTTGGGGTGGAAGGAGCGATCAGAATAAGGGCGATGCTGACATTTCTGTAAAAAAATACTGTTATATGTTTGCAAAATCTCACAATAGGGTGTGTGGAATCAAACATAAATTTATGTAGCAAGTAGAATATTAATATCCAGACTATGATAGTATATTAATTTGAATTGAAGTTGTCAGTAGAGGCATAAAAGAGCAAAATAGAATCTGGAAAAGAGCAGAACTATAAGATGTAGCTAACATTAGTAGTTACCTTGGCTTTTATACACAACAGAAGCACAGACACCCTTTGAATGGAAGAACTGCATCTGCTTTCAAGGATTTCATTTAGCTATTTAACCCTATTGGATCTTCATAAATTAGTTTGTAAGTCAAACCTATGAGTGTTCATGAATTGGTCATTAGCAAGAGTCACATTTTCATACTTCAAATGGATGCATGTATATAGCTGAGCTATATTATGGTTATGATATTCTACATTTTATCTTATTCAAGTTTTGGATCTGCAACTAGCATGGGAAATGCTATCTTTATTTTATATAGCATGCTGACCCCTAGTTTGACTAACTGGTTCATTAAATAAACTACAAATAGTTGCAGTTTATTTAACAAACCATTACGCTTTACACTATTCCAGGCACAGACCATACATCATACTTTAAAAACACAATTATTAGATTAATATACTAAGCGAAAATGAATTAGTCTTTTGTGCAATGTGTGAGCCCAATTGTCATCAGCTTCTTAGGAATGTGGTTTGTAAATAATGTCTTTCTCTTTGCATCTTTTTACTTAATTCTCCCTCCCTTGAATAAAATTCAGCTTCTGCTAACTATATAGATATATCCTTGTAGTTTTCTTGGTGACAATACAAAAATCTTGATCTTCTTCCCTGCAATTTTTTTCAACTTTCCAGTGGAATTTCTGGGTTTCCTGATGATATTTCATTCAATTATTAATCAAGTCTGATGGTGCTTACCTTCTTCCAGATCAGATAGAGTCACTAGGTATTGCTATTGTGATAGTCACAAGACATAACCATTAAATGGAAACCAGGTTCTTAGATTTGTATTTCAACTTTTTCAGAAAGAATTGTTTTATATCACATAGCAAAATAAGAGTTAGTGAACTCCATTTACGTGTATTTTAGGCTGTGTATATTTGACAGGGATTTTTACGTCCCTTGTCATAATGGTTCATGTTAAGAAGCACAACCAACTCAAGTGTCCACATGAAACTGCCTTTGCACAGCAGGTATGAAATAGAGATTTGGGGCTTTCACTCTGAAATTTAGACTCACCCAAATTCTTCAATCTGGTGCACAGCTAGACAGAGAAATTGGAGATGTCCTTTGAAAAGTGGGGAGACAGAATGCAGAGTTTAAATCACATTCTTGGCTGCTGGAAATTGCACAGGCAAGCCTCTTGTGACCATTCACAAGTAATAATTTGTATTTGTTCTATGAACATTCCAATAATCTCTTGGAAGGCCCTATCCACCGACCTCATCTACTGCCTTCATCCTCCTTCAAGCCTTGTTTGCTACCAACTGTAAAGGCACTTAGCATGCAGTCTGACAAGTTTGACTTCTTGATATTTAATCTTAAACCAGATTTTCACTTAATATTTTTTTTACTTTCATAATGTGGTTTCCTAAATCTTTTCTACTTCCAGCTAAAGACGTTATTTACAAATCTCAATTGGTTGGGATCTAGGGTTACCCAATATCTGAACAGTTCATTTAGTGATCGTTCAAAAATGTGAGTTATGACCGTTTTTCACAGTTACAACCTTGGCAGCATCCCCAAGATCATGTAATCAAAATTCAGATACTTGGGCAACTAGTTCATATTTATGACTGTTGCTGTGTCCCAAGTTATGTGATCCCCTTTTGTGACCTTCTGACAAGCAAAGTCAATGGGGAAGTCAGATTCACTTAACAAACGGGTTGCTAACTTATCAACTGCAGTGATTCACTTAACAACTTTAGCAAGAAAGGTTGTACAATGTGGCAAAACTCACTTAACAAATAACTCATTTAACAACAGAAATTTTGGGATCAGTTGTGGTCATAAGTTCAGGACTGCCTGTATCAGGAAAAACTTTTTCTATGGTGGAATTCATATTAACATCATTGGTTTTTTCCTGCCCCATGGATATTAACGCCCCACGGTCAGACGGTAGATACGTTTTTTTAATTAAGTAATATATTGAATTAAAATGTAATTAATCTAAACGCAAAACTCCGTAAAAAGCATTAAGAAATTGCGAAGTACAAGAGTTTGGCCGCGACACTTTATTTCTAGACGGCTTTGCGGCTCCTTGTCACACAGTCCGGGGAAGTCTATTTAACCCTATATAAGGGGTTCTCAATTAGATCCACTAGGACGGCAAGTGTGGCTCCCCCAGTGTTTCTCAACCTTGACAATTTTAAGGCATGTGGACTTCAACTCCCAGAATTCCACAGCCAGCAATGCTGGCTGTGGAATTCTGGGAGTTGAAGTCCACATGCCTTAAAATTGTCAAGGTTGAGAAACACTGCTCTATACTTTCTTACTTCCGAGGATTACTTTCCCCGTCTACATTCTGCCCCTATAGGCGGAAGTGACGCATAAAGGTCCTTGCTAATGGCCCGCCGACATCCCGTGCCGTTATTGAGTTAAATGTAAATTTTATTTAACTAGAATTCAAACGAAGGCATTTCATTCGGCCGTCCGTTAATGAGATTGACTGGATAGGAGGGGGAGCTCTCCGTTGGCTCTCTCTCTCTCCACCTCGAAAGCATCTCTACCCGACCTTCCAGGACCTTCCCCGAGCCTCCCATCAGCCCTTGCGGCTTCCGCCTTCTCTCTTGCCTTTGCTTCCTCCAGGTTTCCTTACTGCGGCACTTAGATAGTCGGTAAGTCGGGAATCCGTTGCCATCCTGGCGGAAGAGAAATTGCAGCGACCTTTTCTTCCTTCTCGGGGCTGCTCGGGGATGGTTTCCGTCGCCTCCCGCCGCTCTTTTCCGAGGCGGGGATAAACGGCGGGTTTTCTTGCATGTTGTAATGGGAGGGTGGCGGGTTCGGTTCCGGGGTTCGGCTCCTTCTGCTGAGATGGAAGTGCAGCAGGCAGACAAGCGCAAAAGCTTGCCGGCCCGGATCCTTCCTTGCTCGGGCGGCGATATTTTGGATCTGCGGCAGGAGAGTTTGAGGCTGCATTGGGCTGCACGCTGGTTGGGAATGATGGAAGTTGAAGTCCACCTTTCTTAAAAGTTGCTATCGTTTTTTTTGCTTGACCTGAGTCAGTTGACAGCTACCATCCAGCATTGATCCCCCCCTCATTTGTCCAACTGCGGGGGTTGTGGGAATGATACACACGCCTGCTCTTTAATCTGATAAAGCTTCATGGACGATGAGGCGTTTTTGATATTCTGGTGGTGTTTCAAAGGAGTAGCAATAATTTTATGCATAGCCTTAGCTTATAGAAGCCATTTGGTCCTTTCTATGAAATACTAACTTTATAGCAGTGGTTCTCAACCTTTTTAATGCCGCGACCCCAACCGGTCGTAAGTCGAGGACTAAACCGGTCGTAAGTCGAGGACTAAACCGGTCGTTAAGTCAAGGACTACCCAACCGGTTGTAAGTCAAGGACTTTCCCTGCCTGGGAGCGCCGCGCATGCGTGGTTCCGGCCCCTGCACCGGCCGAGGCGTAGCTGGCAAGCGGCAGAAACGGAGCACTCCGACCACCAGCTGGCCCAGCCCAAGGGAGGTAAGGCACCCGCCGGAAAAGGGGAAAAAAATGGCGGACAAAAAAAATGGCGGACAGCCTTGCTTGGCGACCCCCATGAAATGGTTGATCGACCCCAAATGGGGTCCCGACCCACAGGTTGAGAACCACTGCTTTATAGGGTTTAGTCCTTTTATATATGCGTGAACTACGTATAAAGGTTTTTCTATTCCAGCCTTTCATTTAGCAATGAAAGAATGTAGAGGTTTGATTTGCTAATCTTCCCAATATCTGCATACTTGGCATGATGTGAAAATGAACTACAGGGATATATGTTTTGTGCAGTTGAAAGCCTGACAATTCCCAAGGGCAGGTCCAAGCTGGGTCTTTTTCAGATGAAATTTTAGAGTTGTAAGACAATTGGAAGAACAATGGCTGGGCGCAGAAAGGCAACTACTACCTTACTCATCCATCATGCTGTGATGTATTTTTAGAATGGCATATGAAGATTGTCTTGGTAATTTACCTTGCAGTCGGTTCAGTACTTACAAATAAAAAATCTCAATAACAACTGGGAAAAGTTAATCTGATATTTCCGACAAAGCTTCCACTTTCCAGGAGTCCATTTGTAATAGATGACCCATTGGTTTTGCTGTTAATTGCTTTAAGTAATATATAATTTGTATCATTTTAAAGAAAGCAGTATACTAAAGAAATATGGGGAAACGAGAGATCAGGAACTCACATTTTAAATCAATAACCTCCCAGGATCGCATCTGGAGAGTTTTTGTACTCTTCCAGCTTTGGACACAGGAGGGATATAAGTTGCAAAAAACACCCATTCCGTTTCTGGCTCTGAAACATGCTAACAAGCGGAAGATACTCTGCAACATGTTTATACTTCATTTATAG